AACAGCACATCCCGTCGTGCTTCCAATAAAGTTCTCATCAACCGTTCACATACTGTGAAATACTTTCTCCAGTTTGCCAAACATCAAATAAGTAATAATTTCAGTGACTCGTATCACAGAGTGGAAGCAGGAATGCTGCATCACAAAAGTCTTTTCTTTCCATTCACAAAAATATATACATGTACAATTCAGGAGTTCCAGCCATACTACGATATTACTATATACATTTGTATATATGTACAGTGTGTAAACAACTTCCTTAGATATGTAGTTTAGATTTTTCATGGCTCCAATACTAATCAAAGTGGATATGCCACACAGCGAACTGCAGTATTCAATAATTCATCCACTGGGACGAATGAAACCACTTGATTAACAAAATAGTGGTGAAGCGCTCCAGGCCAATACCGGCGCATACTGGTCTAAGATTAAAAGCCAGCTAGTTCCGTCTGATAAAGTGGAATCGTAATGCTCTAGCAGCGAAAATTCATAAATCAAGCCAGATGAATAAGACCGATGCTGTCTGATAAAATTCACTGTTAAACTTCAAATACGAATCAAATGAAAGCCTTCTGCCTCCGAGTGCCTAGTCTATACTGGTTAGTATTCGTTCCGAATCTTGTCACCACTTCACAGTGAATGGGGTTCATATATCACGGGTGCACCAAATCTGTCAGATGCCTTAACTTCCGACCATCCACATAAACATATCTAGAGACTTCGAATTCTGGCTTCGCACCAGGTTCGATGACATCCGGGGTTCCCTTGGATGATTCTTGGACTGCCGTCGCTCGCATCTTCCATTGATTACAGTCCAATCCACACGATTTTAAAACGTAGCCCAATGAAACGAAAAAGAACGACCACACATACTTGAGAATCAATGACTGATTGGCAAGACATACAATCCGTAGTGATGCTGTTGTTTGTGGTTTTGATGGTTTGGTGATTTTGCAAAATGAAAAAACACTAGCTAATGACATCGAATTGGCGCACAAAACCAGTGCGCCGTAGGAACGGATTATTTTGTCCAAATATGTATTTCACTATGCATGTAGTTTACCAAATTGTGGTTGTTGTTGTTGCTGCTGCTGCTGATGTTTTATAAAAAAAGAAAAGGGTGATTGAAATGGAAAATCGTTATCAAAAGAAAAACACGAAGGCACACAAGCGGTGAAAAATTGAGCGTGTTCTTTTGTGGACGGCTAAGATTGGAGGTGAACAAAAATAGTAGCGATCGATATAAGACTAATAATGTCTGGTTGAGTATTTGATTATTATTCAGCTATGAAACAAAGAAGAGGCTGGGATGTGTCTGCACGGTTTAGCTGAGGGAACGCCGAGATCAACTGGCCCTAGTGCGAATGCGGAAGACACAGGCAGATGGTACAGAAAGAACTTGTAGCAAAATGAATTCCGAACTTCATTTACTGTCTCAAATCTAACTTTCGAATCGTGAGAATGTCTTTGTATGTTTTTTTATTCATAAGACTGAGGCGGGATGGGGTGGTTGGAAGGAGCGAGTTGAAGAAGAGAACGAGGAGGGTACGACATGAGAGGAATGCTCGCAGTACTTTTTCAGTGATCAGAGCGAAAAGTCGCATTAGTATGCACAAACAAGAGCACATTAAACAGGCACGTGCGCACATATGAAAACACAAGG